CTAGCTCCAGGCTCTTTTCTTCTAATCTTTCCTAGAAGCACCCCTCTCCAGTCAGGGCTCTAACTGTTCCCCAATGCACATCTTGCTTAGTCTACTGGTTTTCTTAACTAGATGACTTTTGCCCCCGCTTCCTCCTTTCACCTTTCAAGATCCAGTGCACCTTCAGCAAGATTTTCTAATCCCATGCTTACCCTACCAATTCCACTCCATTCCTTGCATACCACTAATGCTATTAATTTACTTTTTATGTCCAAGTGTCCTGATTATAAGCTCTGGGACAAAACAGGAAAACCAGTCTCCTGTGTGCTAGCAGACAGTCTCTCTTCATCAGAAACCACCCAGCCCTTACCCCACTCTGGTTTCTCTGATTGGCTGTACAAGATTTTTCTCAGGAAATACACTAATGCCCAGTACACTAATCATTTATCTATTTGGCCCCTTTCCTGAGCACATTATCATCAGAAGCAGTACCTCAGGTTCTTTGAGCCTTCTCCTTTGACCACAAAGAAATGTCCAAGATGCAATAGTAAGTCTCTGATCTTGGCCTTTGAGATCCAACCATGAATTGTAACTAATGGATTTTTAAAAACTCTTCTAGTAGAAGCTATTCCTCATCACTCTACTTCCAACCTACCATCACTTGTCCTTTTTTTAAATGTCTGTCCTTTTTTTTTTTAATGTTTATTTTTGAGAGAGATAGATCATGAGCAGGGGAGGGTCAGAGAGAGAGAAGGAGACACAGAATCTGAAGCTCCAGGCTCCCAGCTGTCAGCATAGAGCCTGAAGCAGGGCTCAAACTTATGAAGTGCGAGATCATGACATGAGCTGAAGTCGGATGCTTAACTGACCAACCCACCCAGGCGCCCCTGTCTGCCCTTTTCAAACAAGTTGCATTTAGGCCTTTTCATCTCTGTCCCTCGGATATCGCCTACCCAGATAAGAGCCCTCTTTTTCTTGTCAGAGCACTATTCAAGGATTCATAAAATACATTTAGATACTCTTTTAGGTATTGTTAAATATATATGTATACGTATGTATGAAGACTGACTGCTAATATGAGATTTCCTTTTGGGGAGATGAAAATATTCTGTAATTAGATAATGGTAATGGCTGTATAAGTCTGTGAATATCCTAAAACCACAGATGCATATACTTTAAAAGGATGAATTTTATGTTATGTGAATCATATCTCAATTTTTTCAAAGGTAAGATTTTCCAACCCTAACCCTGTGTTTACATTTGGCACTAAGAAGGAAAACTCACTGTAATTTTTGAGACAAGAGCCTTTTCTCACACACTTCTTGGAGAATATAGTCAATTATCTGTCCTACTGGAACCTGGAGAGGGGAAGACAACCAATTATCTAATTACCATTGTGATAAGAGCTAGGAAGAAAAAGTATAAGATAAGAATGATATAATCAGCATGGTACATGTAGGGGTGGAAAGGGTCCCAAAAAAGAAAAGAGCACATTGAAGAGGTACACATGCCTCAGCCCACATAACGTAGTTAGTTACTCAACAACTAGCTCAAGGTGACTGGCAGTAAAATGAAACCCCTAGATCACAAGAATTTGTATGGTATGCAATTGATAATTGGCTCCCATCTACCACAGGAGGCTCACATGTCCACTGCATTAGGCTTGAGGTAAAGTGGCCCTGGGTATGTATGTGAATATTGTACCTACTGACAGTGTTATTATGGTAAGGTTTTCATGTACTCACAAATGTTTGTGTTTATTATTCATGTACTCAGGGGCAAATACAAGAAGAAAATTAGGTTATGCTGAAAAACTGTATACATTCAAGCCTCTAGTTATTAATGATGATTGCAGAGAAAGCAAAGAGCTTATACAAACTCAAAACTATAGTAAGTTTAGCTTTGGGCTCCAAAGTGTTATAAATAAATACATAAGTAGTTTAAAAACAGTAAGGTCCTATCTTTAACAGTCTGTGAAAACCCTAGATATGAGGTCAGCTAACCAGAGCCTAGGGGTTAAATCTAGTTCACCCTCTGTTTTTCTAAGTAAGTTTTACTGGAACACAGCCATGCCCATGTGCTTATATATTACCAACAGCCACTTTCCCAACACAAATGTAGAACTGATTGCGTTAACAGAGACCTTATAACCAGTAAAGTCTAAAATATTTACTACCTTAGCTCTTTACAAAAAAAATTTGCCAACTTGTACTAAACTAATGTAATTCACATTGATTCACAACAAAGAAATCTTCTTACACAACCTTTCACAATGAAGTGTTCCAGTGGATAAGCAACAAACTCAAAATGCAAAGAATTATATTCTAACTCTGTTAGTCAATCTGCTATGAAGTTCTAGATAAATCATAATTACTCTGTGTTTTCTATTAGCAGTAAAAGAGTAGTTAGGTTAGAGTTTTGTGTAAGTGCTCAGGACCACCTGGGAAAGGTGTTTGTATTATCTTTTGCTGTCTAACAAATAACCCCAAAATTTGATAGCTTAAAATAAATATTTATTATGCTGAGTCTTCTGAGGGTCAAGAATTTGGAGTTGGTCAGGGCTGCCATCTTTTAAAACCTGACTAATGCTGGAGGATCTGCTCCCAAGGCTGCTTACTCACATGCTTGGCAAACTGGTACTAACAATTTCCCCCTAGACTGAATAATCCATGAGGAAGAGCCACACAGATACTATACTCTCTTTATGACTTAGTTTTGAAAGTAGACAGCATCACTTCTACCATACTCTATTCTTTACAGAGGTGAAAGTATTTAAATCCAACATACATTCAAGAGTATCAAAGTCAGGCTCCACTTACTTAAGGGAGGGCTGTCAAAGAATGTGCAAACATATTAATGCCACTACATGGTTTCAAATAATGAGCAAACAGCTTCAACAACATAACCAACAAGGTTTGGTTGATTAAAAAATCTGCACTTAACCATTGTCATAACATGTACTTTGTTCTATTTATGACAGGAGAGAGGTTTCATACTACTTAAGATTCTTAAAAAAAAAAAA